CCATCAAATGGTTACAATGAAGGATCAAAACCGCATGAAGCAAGTGGCAACGATGAAGAATCAAAACCGCGTAATGAAGTGGTAACGATGAAGGATCAAAACCACATGAAGCAAGTGGCAACAATAAAGAATCAAAACCGTGTGATGAAAGTAGTAACGCTGAAGGATCGGCCTTGTTTTCTTTATTATTGCTTGATAGGTCGGCCTTATTTTTTTTACAAGGTTTTGATCCTTCATCATTGCCACTTGCTTCATGCGGTTTTGATCCTTCATCGTAACCATTTGATGGGTCGGCCTTGTTTTATTATTGCATGATAGGCTGGCCTTATTTTTTCACGCAGTTTCGATCTTTCATTGTTGTCATCATTATAACTTAACGAACTTACTGGATCGGCTTTCTTTTCTTCACGTGAATTACCCAATTCATCAAGTACCCTTTGTTTCTTTTTCTTATTTTGGGGTTTCTTTGTTAGACTAAAGATTAAATAATAATAATAATAATAACAAGTACTGCAGTATTTTACAAGTACTAACAAACGTAAATTTCCCTAAAATAAGGCGTAACCGATCACTTCTTCAGGACCGGTAGTCCTTATTTGCGGAAACTTCAACTTAGGCTGTATTCTTTGAGGGGCCAGAATGACCATTCAATTGACAGAATCATCTTTGGGATGATCTCACAAAGAACGCTAGTTCATTGTGGGGCCAGAACAATCATAAGAACAAATGGAATCACACTTACAACTTATTTTATAGGCACAACCTTTTCACTGCACCAAACAAGTTGCTCGATTGATCTCGTTTAAAGAAGTCCCAAAGGAAAAGGTGCTTATTAATACCATAAAAATACTTACTTTAATGGTTGCGAAGAACTTTCTTTTAGCACGACCTTGTCTGTCGATTCTACTTAAGGCTGACATCGCTAAAGCGCATCTAAAGAGAGAACGAGTGAACGAGAAAACGAACGAGTGAACGCGAAAACGAGAGAATGAGAGAATGAGAGAACAACAAACGATAAAACGTGTAATTTACAACATACTATATATAAGGTTTTTTTATTAATACGTAATGGCCGATTTTTATTTACAATTCTAAAATCATGACATCACTAAGGGTTGGTTGCGTATACTTATTTCTGCAAGTGATACGAATCCAAAAAAGGAAATTTTTATATGTAGATCGCAAGTTCAGGTGCAATCTTCGTGTAATGTGAAATCGAAGGCTTTTTCAAAACATCACTGGTAACTCAAAATTAAAAAAATTCCTTGCCAAATTTTACTATACGACGTTCTTTATATCAACCTTAATCCTAACCCTAACACTGGTTTTAATAATTCGAGTTTATCACGTGAATTTAGTGATATTTTAGAATTTGTTAAAATTTAATTCTAAAATATCACTAAAGTCACGTGATAAACTCGAATTATTAAAACCGGTTTCAACCTCTATGTCACATCTGATCAGAAAACTGAAGTGGCAGTTGTCATTATCATTATAAAGAAACATTGTATCTAGGGATGCGGGTTATAC